TGTCATATATACACCTCTGTAAAGACCAGATGTTATATTTATTCTAAGGATTAAAGTATGCACATGTTAAATGCTGTGTTTATTAATCCTTTTAATACAAAAAAAATTGTAAAAAAAAATCATCTAGTTTCCCTAATATGTATAGCAATGCCTGTGTAAGGTCGGGAAAATTCAAAATTTCAGTAAATATTTTTTCTCAATAATTTATATGTGGTTAGATAGAGCTCATAAAACTGTCTAAGAGACTGTACTTTAAAATCTTTTTTCACTCTTTTATATACATAAAAAACTCAAAATACTAAGATTATTCTATTACTGAGATCATTCTAAACGGAATGACCTCAGTATTTTGAGTTTTTTATGTATATAAAAGAATGAAAAAAAGATGTAAAGTACATTTTCTTAGACAGTTTTATGAGCTCTATCTAACCATATGTAAACCATCGAGGAAAGACTTTTACTGGAATTTTGAGTTTCTCCGACCTTACGTATATATCATAGAAACGATAAACGATTTTAATGGGTAATTTAATTTTAATTGAATTCAATCAGCTTATTAGACCAATCACCTATATTCTTATGGCAATTTGTTAGTAAACAATAAAAACATACATTACTCATAGCTTACAGTGGTTTTTGAATAATAAATCACTATCTGAAAAAGCTTTTTATAGATATGCAAAAAATGTAGAAAACGGTAAAAAACGTCATCGCGTTATGTCAATAATTGCAAAACGAAATTTTTTTCAGATAAAAATATTTGCATCAGATAGCCCATAAAAAATTAGCTTTAGGTATGTATTTTGTATAAAAAAAAGTTGAGACAAACCAGGGAAAAACAAACAATACTCATTTTTCGTTACGCGATGACGCTTTCAATTCGGTACTTTTGCTTGATGCGGTAGTAAAAGACACTAGCAAGTAGGAAGTCGGTTGTTTTGCCAAATGATACTTCTGTTACCGTAGAATCAATTGCTCTCAATTATATATATATTCATCACAATGTTTCGATAGAAGGGTTGGACTAATTATAGGGTCCAGATTATTATTCTCCTATACATATTTAGTGACATCTTTATTAACAATTACCAAATATGATTTTCAGCACTTATTAAAAGAACAAAATATATTTCTCTATACTATAGACTGTGCTCTACAAGGTAGCAATGGCGAATTGATGAAATGATGATTTCGAATTCTTGGTCAGCGAGGTGACGCGTTACGTGGACAAGCCGATATACATCTAGAGTGACATATAGAAGAGAAAGAAGAAATCCAATGGCGTATATGTAGAAATATAAAGGAAAAAAAACCAATATGTGAAATGACGTAGTTCGTAGAGAATACGTCTATGTGTGTTGTACAGATACATATTTGAAGAATCCTCAACACTAACTTATGCATTTGTTTTTTTTTACGTTATTAGTACTTTGTTGGGTGAAAAAAGTTTTGGCCTATCAATAAAAACCTTGCCCATTTCGCCCATTGGTTTTTTTCGACACAAGAGAAGTTTGCCCATTGGTCTAAAAATCCTGGTTACGCCGATGCACCCACATTCTCATTTATGCCATTGAATTAATATCGGATTATGTAATAATTTTACTGAAATTAAAATGCTTGTTCTAGTTTGGGATTGATCTTCTTATTGTAGATTTTCTTATTCCAAGCCATTTGATAGACATTTCGATGCGTCGATTTAAGGTTACGGTGGACATCGAAGCTTCAAACGGACCCCTCTGATTTTCACTTTTCCAGTAAAGCACGAAGTTTTCGATCTGTCCATCGATTTTTACCAAGGGATCAAAGTAAAAAGAATTTTGTTCCTATAGACGCCTCATTCTTGAGTCGTCGAAGCCTATCGAATAAATGCCGAGGAGAAGATTCGAACATGGGTACTTACAATTAACATTCGTCGAACATCTAAACTACATATGAACTATTGTTCTTCTATGAAATTTATCTTTTCAATTCTTAGAAGGATAGTACTACTTCAAGTTTAACATTTGCTAACAGTTTTCGAAAATAAAAAAAAACACCTTTTGCATGTCTCTAACTACCGAAAAGGCTTTTTGTTTTGGAGTGTCAGATGTCACATAAGGAGCTTAGTTGATAAATAACTGATTTGTGTGAAGAGAGTGTAAAATCAATATTAAAAAAAAATTTCAAACATTCAAAACGCAAAACTCGCTACGACTGTACTTTTCGTCAAAAACGCTTATGAATTTCAGCCTTACGTGTTATTTTTCATCAGTTTATATTAAAGATTTTTTTTTAAATTCTAGAATTAAGGAAAATATATGTCGAACATATATCGCTCTACTAAGGTAGTCGAATGCAAGAGATATTTGTAAATTACTTTTTGAAGACATTTCACGAAATCAAAATTAGCCTCACCACCACTTGAAACTGCTATATCCACTAGGCTTGCTTCTACTGGAGCACTTAATAATTTGCTTCCAATATGTTTCTTTTCCCGAGTGCTCGAAACTTCGATGAGTGTTAAGAGATTTAAAAGTGCTTGAGGAGTCGAAAATGGCTGCTCGATAGGATACAGTTTTTGACTGCTCGAAATCTAATCACTGCCGCGAGGCTTGAAATTGGAACAGAACGCAAAAAAAATATATTTCAAATTTTCGAGCGCTTGCCGCACTTATCGTATGGTTTTTAAAGTCTATTTTGGTAACATAATATATAAATATGTGCTTCTGACTATGTTTTTTTGAAAAAAAAAAGAAAGAAAGAATAGATTCGTATATTTGCAAATCGCCAAGGAATCAAAAAAAAATTTGAAGCAGACCGTTTTTCTCACTCCATACCTTATATCATGAAGGTTTCGTTCTCATCTAATACTATTTATTTGATACTTAAAATATTTTCTTAATCTATGTTTTATATATAATAACATATATATTCAGATAAAAAATTATTTAATTAGCAACGATGATGTTTTCATGGTTATTATTTAGTCTATTGATTGGATCGACAATTTCCTGTTCATGTATGCAAAGATCAACATTGGAAGATGATTTTGCTCGAACACCGACTATTTTTGTAGGACGTGTCATTCATAAAATACCACCAACTTCACCTTATAATAGTTATGAATTTACAGTCGAAGTTGAAGAAGCATTCAAAGTAGAATAATATTAAATTAATAATTTTCTTATTGATTATCGTTTAGGGTACATCAGTTGGTGCACAGATCAAAGTACGAACCTGGGAACAAGGATCTATGTGTGGTATTGGTGTAGTGTCTGTTGATTCTCGTTGGCAAATATGGCTGAGTGAAAATGGTGTCACTAGTTTATGTACAAGAACTACATTAGATATTAATAGAGATCGATTAGCACTTCAAGCACTTGCTAAGCATTCTTCTTAATTGATCAATATAAAAAATTTATCTTTTTGTTCTTGTTTTCAAAAATCATCTTTGAACTATAAAATCGATATTATCAAGAGAGAAAATTATTTGTGAAAATTTATTTTCATTAATAATAAATTTTTCTTCAACTAATATTAACTAAACTACAAAGATTAAATTAGAATAAAAATGCATTCAGCGAAAAATTCAACAATAATGAAGTGAGATTATAACAGAAATTTGCTACGAATGATTTCTTTTTCTTTTTCATGCAAACTAAACCATAGCTTGAATCATTTCATTGTACAGTTAAATATTCTGTTATTAGGTTGGACGCTATTGTTGACTACTTCTAAAATCATTGTTCACGCATAGAATAGTTGTATAGTTTCATTCCTTTGCGAAGAATAAATTCATTGTCATGTTGATGTAAATAATCGAATAACAGTTATCGAGTAAAAAATTTTTTTAATGTTTTATATGTTCTTTAACCTTTGACTTTCTATGAATCAATATTACCCGGAATCTTTTATTTATTACTAGTAAACACAGTATTTTACAATTGCTGTGAATATGAAGATATGTGAGTTGTAGTCATGTCTCGCTAGTCCTAACCACAATCTTAATTTATTGGATTATATTAAAAATCTCTTTGAAATCAAATATTCAAGTAGAAAAAACGAAGCACACGTCACAGAATATCTAGCACAAAAAATTAAGGCCATAATAATAGAAGTTTCTTCCTGATTACCCTATATCTATATTCATTCAGAAATCAAAATATTTCTATGGAAACAGAAACAGAAAAAAGATGAGTGAACTAATACTTAATAGTTTTATTCATATGATGAAGTATTTCTTTGTTTACTATTTTGTTTTTAGTAGCAATGCAGTATCTTTTTGATAAAGAATTAACAGATTTGTACGATGTCTTATATATACTATTATTTCTTTTTTTTTAGTTAGTACGAATTAAATTTTAATCAATGGATCTTTTTGTTGTTGAAATGATATATAAGGATTTGAACAGCAATACGGATTTAACTGAGAAAGAGTGGAAGACAGTATATGAACCTTCAATGATTTTTGTCATCAAAATAATATTTTTTATTTCAAACTGAGACTTTTGCGACTTAACTGACTCAATTATTATTAAGAATAGCTAACTGGAACTTTTTTTAATGAAACTATGTGTTTAATAATAAATGAGAAGTATATCCATGTTGCATGTTTATTCGCAATATCTCTTAGAGCTTCCGAATTCGAATTTACTATTCGAAAAGGATTCAAATTTATTGAGAGAAAAAAACAGTTGCAAAGTATATTATATTAATAAAAGTTTTTGCAGTGCTCATTATAATAAAAAATCTGTCTCAGAGCTGAGATCGATTTGAACTATGTGACTAGTATAAACGCCTTGAACGCATCAACATTATTAGAGTGCATCGATATTGACTCAATATTATCAATTTTAATAGATTTCAAAAATACTCTGCCGTTTTGATACAACACATTATGATACACTACTATCAAAAAAAGGGTGTAGGTTTGACTGGAGTGAAGAGTTAGACCGATGTCTCTTCAGGGCAGTAGCGAAGTGTAAGAATCAAGCTCAAACAACTCATTGTGTACGTTAGGTTTATGCTTGTCGTTCATGTACTGATAGAAAAAGTAATTCATTTCGAATGTTTTGGAACATTTCAGACAAATCTTCTTTGTAAGAAGAATTCATTTTAAAAAGTGTAGAGAATCCGAAAATGTAAGTTTCCATCAGATCTTGATATCAAAGATTTAATCAAGCTGAAGGTTGAGATAAGAGAACATTTATTATGTTCATATGCGCACTTCGATTCTTAATAAGTAGATAATTTCAGTCAGTTCGAGTTCGATTCTTCATAATCAATTCTATTAGAACAGGCAGATGATCCGATGGGAAATATTCGTTATCCGAATCTGTTAAAATTGCGTGCTGTAATACTGTAAAATGTTGCGATGTTACAAAGATATAGTCAATACGCTCGCCCAGACCTTGTCCTACGAAGAAGGTAGCCCAAGTACCATCCGGACCATAATGAGGCGTCTCTGTCAAGTTTTTCGCATCTTGGAAAGAAGTATTCGTGATGATAATTCGATAGGCATCTGAATCGGGCCCTGTATTAAAATCACCAGTAAGTATCACCGGCTCAGCAGAGCCGGTTGTATCGTTTATGCGATGCATAATTAGACGAGCACTTTCATTACGAGCCGTCACACCCACATGGTCCAAATGGGTGTTAAAATGATATAGTGTCTGACGAGTCCAGCGATCTCGGAGTTTCACCCAGCTACACACTCGTATTGCAGCTGCATCCCATCCTTTACTTCCAGCAATGTCCGGTGTTTCCGAAAGCCAAAATGTACCGTTATCAAGTATGTCAAAGCGATCAGAACGATAAAAGACGGCAGAAAACTCGCCCCTGTTTTTACCATCGTCACGACCTACACCATACCAATCAAAGACAGGCAACGCCATCTTTAAGTCTACCACTTGATGAGGCAAAGCTTCTTGAACACCGAAAAGATCAGGTTTGTGATAACGGATGAGACTAGTTAGACGATCTTTGCGAAGATTCCATTGATTTTGACCGTCCTGAACCAAGTCTAATCGAATATTGTAGCTCATGACACGAAACGACGAAACACAATGTTCGGCTAGCATAGCTACAAGAAATGAAGTTGATTTTAGTTTGATTAGTCGATCTGACAGTTTGGAATTGAGTACTGTTCCATCTATTTTCATCTACGACCGACAAAATTAGAGTTTGATATAGTTTACAGTTGATAGAATCCAATATGTAATATCTATCGAAAAATGATTCCTCTCATCTTCTGTCTCATGTAACATTTTCACTGATTCATTAATTGAAAGAAGTTATTCGCATATTTCTGCTGGAATGAAATATGAAAATGGATTTATCACTCGTTGCATACCTGTCGTTGTCCGTAAACTTCTTGTGGAAATAGCAGTCGTAGGAATGACAATTGTTGGACAGAGTAAAGTAACAGCAACAATTAAAAAAATGGTCCAGAGCGATGTTTTTCTTCCAACAGATGCACCTCTAAAAATATCATTGTTTATTAACAATGAGAAGAAAAGATACGTACACTGTGACCGATCGATCAGACTTTAGTATGTATGTATCCAATGCTACTTGATCAAACTAAAAGAGTTAAGCAAAAAAAGAGATCCATGCTATGCGTAGTTTTTCGAATAAATTAAAATGACATACACTACCATCGTGATTCACTATTGGTACTTCGTTTTCATGTGACATTGTCGGGATAGTTATCTATTCGAGTGTTTTGCAATAAAAGAAAAACATCAACATATGAATAACAATTTAGACTTCTGTCACAGTTAGTTCTTTAAAATTTTCTCATTCAAACAATGAATAAAAAATTTTATCAACAAAATGGAAAATAATTATTAAATAAAAATACTCATCAATTGAAGAAATGAATCAAAGAATGCATCTTTGTTATTGATTTTTTTTTTGAATGAATAACACGCATTACACTAACAAGTAAATATCATCAACTAAATATATTAAGAGTCGTATGAGCACGATTTCTTTACTATTTATTCTTTTCAAAAAACGAGTCCAATACATCGACGACAAAATGTCATTATTTGCGTGCGTCAAATATGAATCAAGCGAATGTAGTGATCAAAAGAGCTTGCACATCCAGTGAGAGAACTAAAAAAATAAAATATTTTTACTATTTATTCTCGTAGAGAAGCCATACAAAGGGCATCCATCACAAAAATCCCCTTATTTCACTTCACTCAATATAAGACG